CACTTTTATTAATAATCCGGCCGCGTTAACTTTTTATTACCTAGAGTGTTTCCAAAATGCCAATGCCAATTTGGTATCTTCATAAAGAGGCAATGCACACGAATTAATACATCCGTCGTTGTTTGCTGCTCTTTAGAGCGAAAGACGACGGCGCCAAAGCGGCGTTCCGACGTCCGTTCTTTATGCGGTTTGCCGCTATGATTGTCTCGCCACTGTATTCGTACGAGAACTTGTGGTGTACTGTAGCTGTATTAATAGTCGCCACCTGGCGCACATCGGCGCAGCATTCACGTGGGATCTTGCACTGCAGCAAGTTGCAGCGACGCAAGGGCCACGGACAAGGTACAGCCGAGGTTACTGCGCTAACTATTGTAGCACTGAGTTCAATGACACGAGTCTTTGAATACAGAATAATTGAAGGCACCACCGTGGCTGTAATTCCCTACAATACTTACGAATACAAGGTGCACTGCTTACGGACACTGATTAGTTGACGATGTGAGTCTTCGCACCGGATCGCGCTGTCGTAAAGCCGGCATCTGGCTCACAGGCATACCGTACAGGCTTTTGCAGAACAGCAATGGTCATCAACAACAATGTACCGGTCCTACCGATTCGTTCTACCGATGGCGAGGATCTCGGGGTAAGCACGTTAGCATCTGGCAACACGGAGCCTGCACTCGACGACATCGATCTCAACGACAGGATTTGCGTCGGCGACTCTTGTTTTGCCTGGGCTTGGCTACAGCAGTTCCAGTCGCTTGCAGATTGCTGTGCTACGCTAGACGCGAGGGCTGTTGCAACGCAGTCACATTCGTCACTCATTTTTCAATCTGCACTCTTTGCAGCCTCCAAACAACCGACCTCCAGTCTATCTAGTGTCTATCATGGTCAACACTTTTACCTTCGTCACGGCTGCACTGGCCGCGACTGCTACCATTGCGTCGGGTGCTTCTATGCGCGCTGAGGCCGCCCCCATGCCCACCGGAGCGTGGCCTGCCAGTCAAGGCGACGAGTTTTTCGATGAACCTTACGTCGTCAAGAAAGGCGAAGTTTACGACGGCAAGATGAAGACCTTCCAGCGCTCGAACGTCAAGTGCGCCGGTCAGCGTGAGAGCGGCTGGCAGACCGCCGTGTTCCGCGTCGAGCCCGGTGGCACCCTCAAGAACGTCATCATCGGCCAGGACCAAATGGAAGGTGTGCACTGCGAACAGAGTGGCTGCACGATCGAGAATGTGTGGTGGGACGACGTGTGCGAGGACGCACTGAGCATCAAGGGCGGGTCGGCCGGTAGCGTGACCAAGGTCATCGGTGGAGGTGCACGCTCGGCCCAGGACAAGGTCATCCAGCACAATGGCTACGGCACCGTGTCCATCGAGGGGTTCTACGTCGAGGACTTCGGTAAGCTCTACCGTTCGTGTGGCACGTGCGGCTACAAGGGCCTCAAGGTCAACGTCAAGAACGTATACGCTGTCGACGGCCGTGTCAGTGTCGTCACTGTGAACGAGAACTGGGGAGACCAGGCCACGCTCGAGAACATCAAGATCAAGGGCAAGAAGATCAACGTGTGCTCATGGTCGGACGGCACCACGTCGGGCGGCGAGCCGGAAGAGGCCGGTGCCGGCCCCAAGGGCAACGTCTGCAAGTACTCACCCAGTACAATCACCTACGTCTAAGTTAATCTGTTCAAGCGCCGTGGTAGTGCTAGCAATGTCAGTATTGAAGTGAACACAAATAGAGAATAGTAGATGTTTTTTCGAGAAGAAAATAGTTTATCTTTACGTTGCTAGTCTCAGCTTGAGACAACCAACGCTTCGATACCCATCGAAGTGACCAAACGGCTTCAACATGGCTACCACCATGTCCCAATATCCTCAATGAAAAGATCTTACATAGTCCAATTTCCTTCTCAAAGCTCACCAAGCTCTTCAACGCGTCTCGAGTTATGATTGTGAACGGCAGTGTTAAGGTTTACGTCGCATGCACTTCAGTCTTGTACATCAAGTTCCTGACTGCCACGATGATTCAAGGAGCGAGGAAGTACGCCACGGGTGCTCGTCCTCCTGAGGATACGTGGCTCCCGTCGTCCAAGCGCAAGCAAACTTTTGGCATAGACAACACCAACGACACCAAGACGCTGGAGGCAGAGAAACGTTGGGAAGGTATCGTCACGAACGATTTGGAGTCCATTCCGCTGGGACTATTCATCTTCGGCGCAGGAATTATGGCTGGAGGCAACTCGAAAGTTCACTTCCGTGCGATGCTCGCATTCACGGCGGCACGTTGCCTACACACGTACGCTTTCGCGTATGCGAAACAACCCATGCGCTCACTGTGCCAGGGAGTCGGCGTGGTGGCGACTCTAGTAGGACTGGGGAACGCTGTGAGTGCTATTCTCTAATATGTATTTTAGCCGCAGGAAAAGAAAGATATTGCTATGATAACAATTACCAATACAACAACACATTTTACACGCTATCAAATGACAACGGAAAAAAAGTACTTGTTTATTCTCCAGCAAAACAAAATGTATTTTTTTTCTTTTTTTATTAACCTCAGTTACCTATTGATTTAACGGATGCGCCCGAATAAAAGCCCCCTACCGAATAGTGTCCTGTGGGGTGCTACATGCCTGCACTATTAAATACAAGCCTCTCCCGAATAGAGTCCTTATAAAAGCTACCAAATCTGATCCATTCTACAGAGAGAAACACTTTTCCGTCATTTCCAATAATGCCTCATCAAAGGCAGTCCGTTAGCAGTGAGCGTAAGCAAGAGGTGATCAAGTGGACTAAATATGTCGTTTTAAGGACCTACTGTACATGGAAATAACGCTTGGAAAGAGTCGGACCGAGTCGAATGCACTCGCTTTGGTAGCCCACGTATACCAATTGTCGACACCGTTTGCGATTGAGACCTCCGCGCGTGGCGAGACACGGATGAGGTAACAATCATGCGGAGTGCTGAAATAGCAAGGCTTCTAGAGACCCCTCGTCGTGGTTTATATCCAAGCACGATGTGAATGGCGCTAAATTTCGTGAAAAGTGGTCGAAGGAACCGCATATGGACGAAGACGTCGATCTGTTAAATTCTTTAGAGTTAGATGATGCGTTAGACGATATTAACCTGGTACACGAATCTTATCAGCAAGGAATAAAGTCATCACCCGTTTAAAGTCCTCTCTATCACTTTCGGGCGGCACTATTAAATATAGTCCGGACTCTAGTAGGGCGCGTCCGTTATTACATTCATTTCTTACTTCAAGGGGTGTGTGTGCTTACAGTGCCGTATTGTCGAGTTGATTCATGTCTTCCTCGATGTTGCTATCCAGCTTCAGATGCCCATGCTTGGTCATCAGCGATGCCTCCAGGAGCTTCATTGCGACAAAAGGATTCTGCGCCATCTCCAGCATACTATTGCAAAAATCGACTTGCGATTCATGCTGGAAGACTCGGCCATGCTTAAAGTGAAACACCTTGTCATACTGGATAGCGTACTCCTTGCCGATAAGCTGTTGGGTGAGCTCTTCGTCGTCAATAATACGCGGGAACAGTTTCTCCAGCGTCGTGCGACTCACACGGAAGCGAGCGGTGGCCTTCGCCAATATCTGAATCGAGTTATCTTTGGACGACAAGTCTTGGTTAACGACGACGATCTCGTGAACGAACACACGCATCGAGGCATGACTCTCGGTGGCCATTTGGTACTGACTCAAGAACAAGTCGACACCCTGGAATTCAGAGCAGATAGCGTCCTTCCTCATGATTCCTCGAAGAAATGTCTCTGCCTGTCTGGACTGCTCTGGGTGGCTCATAGGGTTGTATCCGTTAGAGAAGTGTACGTAGAAGCCCTTGGTGAGGTCGATGGCATGCGTCACCGCGTTGGTGCGTGCATTGACCACCGCCGAGTCCAGTAGCTGTCGCTGTCTCTGCAGCATCTCGATCTGTCTCTGCATCGCCACCACCTCATTTCGCAGCGCTTCTGCGCCCTCCTCGTCCTGGTTGTCAGCTTCTTTATCTGGTGCGCTGTTCAGTCTGCGCTTCGCCGCCTTGGCCTCTCTCCTGGCAGTCTTGCAGTTGCGCGATATTCCTCGCCGTCGCGGGCCTGTCGTAGTCGAGTCTTTGAAGCTTCCAGCGACTTGTAGTGTGTCGTCTCCGTCGCGTGGCAGCCAAGAGCGACACCGTCTATAGGTCGTCTCGCTCTGGAAGAGCATGTGCATGTTGTGGATCGGTCCTGTTAGGTGGGTGACCGACGTGACGTCGGTAGCAAAATGAAAAGTGGTGAGGAGTATAATTCGATATCCTGGCTTCTGTGTTGATCTCGACGTTCAGCCCACGGTTTCACTCTTTCAAAACTGCTTAACCGAATGCTAATTTCAGATGGACGCGACGTTGCACAGACAGCAGCGAGCACCCAATCGAGTGAATGAGTGTTGTTCTGAGTCAGTGCTGGAGCGTTTCCTAGCTGGACATTTGAAGTTGGGGGCATGTACGCTTTCCACCATCTGGATCGCAGATTAAAAGCCTCCAGTGTGGACAGCGACAGGGGTCATCGCTGGCCGGATGAATAATTCTGCGAGTCTATTTCTTCTCATTGGCTCAGTTCCACACTCGTTGGTTTGTGCATCGATACCTTACACTTGCCCGGGTTACTCGAGATCGTCTTCAACATGAGGCCGGCGTTTCTTTGACGATCCGGACTTCCGACTGCTCTTTTTCACAGATCTCTGTTTGGAGCCCTCCTCACCCTCTTGTTTCTTGTGTTTGCGTTCCTTCTTATGCTTGTGTTTCTTCTTCGACGAACTCGAATCGGCATCATCTGCAGGCGCCGGGAGCATTCGCATGGCCTCTTCCTGCGCTTTCCGAATGGCTTCCATCACGTCAGAGCTCCCAAAAGAGGAGCCCGAGACGGCGACACTGCTTGTCGACGTGTCGTTTTCCTGGTCGAACGCAGCATTCAGTTGACGTAGATCTTCTCTCTGCTGACGTCTGCGTTCGGATCGGTGCTTCTTACTGATACTGTAGCTCGCAAAGCGGTCCAGATCTTCTTCCTTGTCTTCACTAGACTCCACTAGCGCCTTTCTGCTTTGCTTTTGCCGACTTGACTGCGGCTCAGCGTACGTAGGTGGCGCATTCTCTGCATCGCTATCACTTTCGTTCAAAAAAGCTTCCAGGTCGTTGCTAGGAACGACAGTCGCGAAGTCGGGAATTACCGTATTTATGGAAAAATTCGTTTCAAGGTCCGACAACTGGAGAGCTCCGTTCGTGCTGGAGTCGTTAACACCGCCGTCACGACCCACGGATGAATTGCTAGCGTCAGACAAGGTTGGCATTGGCGCCGTGACCTCGTCCGGTAAGGGTAGCGACGCTTGGAGAGCTGACAAGGATGTAAGATCCCCAGCGTCATCGTTGTTCCTCTTGTGGTAGTGTCCCAACACTTCTTCCTGACCTTGAGTCGCCGAGCTTGGGCTGATCGTACAGGTAGATGCTGGAGCGAATGAGGGCACTGAGGCGTCAGGCATAGGTAACGACGCTTGCAATGAAGACAACGACACATCGGTAGAGCCATTCCTACCGCTTGTATCGTCGCTATCATCGCTCGTGAGCACATCTGGACGCAAATCTCTTGACACAACAGGTTCTTCGGCTTTAACCACCTCCACTTGCGGAGTTGCATCCGCAGCTTCTTTATCACTGACCTCATCAGCGAGGGAAGTATTCAACTCGCTGGAGCTGGCAGCGATATCCAATTTGTCACCACCTGGACGCTCCTTTTTAATAACACTGATCTCTCTGTCGGTAGTGGCGACTTGATCCACATTTTCCGGCTCGCTGTTGGGGTCATCATCAGCGACACGAGTGGTCTCTGTAATCGGTAGAGTCGGGGCAATCGAATCCTTCTTGATAGCTGAATGCATCGCTACAGTGTCGATAATGTCAGCATCGCCACCTTCATTCTCACTGGAAGCGCGTGATTCGTGCGCAGTGGGACGAACACACTCCACGGCATCTGTGGCTCCTGTCAAATCGGACTCGTGGTTTAGCTCTGCATCATCTTGTGACAGTGACGCACGGCGTTCGTCGTGTTCTTCTGCGACTGCGTTATCGCTCTCATCCCTTGGAGTAGGATACGAAACGGAGGGCACTGAAGGAGGAGTCTGCAGTACAGCACTGTCTGGGCTAGAAGACTTTCGCTGCGTTGGCAAGCTCTCAGCCTGGGAATTCGCTACCGGGCTCGTAGATTGCGCTTGAGCAGGAGACCCAGGACTGCTAGTTTGCTTTGGAGATACTGACGTTGGTCGGGACGAGCGAGAGCTTGTCGTACTTGTCTGCTTGGCCACTGGGCGTTGAGAAGAGCTGCTACGAGACGCTCTGTCCTTTCGAGTCCGGCGACTTCCTGCTGATCCAATCTCGTCTGTATCGGATGAGTCAGAGTCGATAAAACGTTGTTTATGGGACACCCCACTCGTCCCTCTATCCACAGGAGCCACTACCACAACCTCGTCGTTCTCGCCGGCATCTTCATCGCTTTCACTCTCTGAGTAGAAGTGATCGAGGTCGCTAACACGCGCTTTCGGCACCTGGAAGTCCTCAAGATGCATCACTTCTTCCATTGACGCCTTCCTAGGACGATTCGAACTGGCACGACTTGATACTGGAGCCTTGCTGCTTCGTTCTTGAGGCGATGCGGGTTTATCTTCTACCTTCGCGACGGCGTCGTCTGGTTTCTCGTCCGAAATCGACGTCACAGTCTCCTTGTGCTCGAACTTTAGTCGTGGCGCTGTCTGGATAACAACACTATTAGTTCTCGCAGGCAAATCCTCCACATCCTGAGATGGTGCGTCCTCCTGTGCTTCAGTGCTCTTTGTAGCTGCAGCAACCACCTCAGTAGGTGACTTGGGGGGAGTTCCAGCGCCATTATCCTTCTCAACGACACTCACGTCATCATCTGCACCTTCCTGCTGCGTCCTAGACGTCGATTGACTGCTTTCCCGAGGTGATAACCTCACGGAGTTGCTCCTCGACGCAGCTAGTGGAGTATTTCCGCTTCCAGAGCCTCGTCTGCCTGTCCGAATGTCCGATCCTGTAGCCTTGATATGCTCCACGTACTCGGAGTATCGCTGGTCGCTGATAGTCGCCTGCACATCGTGCTTCAAGTGCGCGAACTCTCCTTCTACGATCCGCATCTGCTGTCTGATAGTCGCCAGCTTGAGCTGCAAGAAAGGGATCCCAAAGTACTGGTGCAGCGACTTTAACCCGTAGCAATTCAGCAACGAACACTCGAAATACAGCAACTCGCTCGGTCTTCTCCACTGCTGCGACTGCGGTCGGTCCCTCGATCCGTAAAGCAGTTCCTGGATATCCTCCTTAAAGATCTTCCTCTGTGCTCCTTGGTCTCTAAAGTTGCCCAGTACTAACGTCGGGATGTGGACTGGTACGCTGTCCAGCTGCTGCTTCACGTACTCTAGCGTATCCCACTTAGTTATATCCAGTAGGAAGATGACGCTATGAGCTTCATGATACACGTCCACGGTAGAGGCGTCCACGATGGCTACAGAGTGAGTCCCGTTCTGCATGGCCGCAGCTGCTGCGGCTGCGGCGGCGCTAGCTTCGGCTGACAAGCTCCCTCCACTCTGTAGGCCTCCGTGCTCATTGCTGACCCCTGTGGATGCATTCTGGGGGCGTGTTGAGCCTTCTTCTGCGCCTTCCTCGGTCTCTACAGACACGAATCCTTTGTCCACGACGTCCCAGACCTCACATTTGACATTTTCTTCCAGATTTTGACGGAAACTCCACTTAATTGTGGCCGATTGAAGCTGTGGCGTGGATTGGTGCGTCTCCGGGATGGGCTCGCCCTTGAGGCGCTGGAAGAGCGACGTCTTGCCTGTGCCCTTAGCACCACGCACTAGCAGCTTCATGTTGTACGTGATGCCGCCCCGCACGCGGCGGCGGATGGCCTTGTCCATGCGCTGGATCGTGCGCTCCTTTTTAGGGTTTGACGTCGGAGTTGAACTAGGGTTTGAGCCCAGACTCGAGCTGCTGCTGGTCCGACGTTGCGGAGGCGGAGCGTTTGACGCAGCAGGCGACGGAGATGGAGAGCTCGAGTTGAAGCTCTGCGCACGACGCGAGGACCCTCCTGTTGGCGTGTACGGCGAGCGGGGAGGCACCACGCCCGAGCTCTGCGGACTCAGGTCGGCGGGGCGACTCACCTCATTGCCCATGGTCGAACGCGGGGGTCAGTAACTGTGGGGTAGAGGATCTAATTGAGTGACATAAGAGTGATGGTCAAAGTGGTGCACACATATGAACTTCAACGTCTGGTGTCATCACTGAGCAAAGCTGCCGAGAAGGTGACGCTAGAGCAGCTAGAGCAGCTTGCGGCGGAGGGCAAGTTGGACGATTTGTATGCTGCGTTGAGCCTGTGTCGGTTCAACGACCTGCGCTCGTATCTCAACGCGTTAGGCATCAAAGTGCGCACGAAGCAGTACGAAGATATCCGCTCGAAGGAGGATCATGTGAAGCTGCTGGCTCAAGTTTTACTGTAGACAGAGTCGGGAGCTGCAGCAGTCCTGGCGTGTAGCCATTTGAAAGGCGCTGGAGCTGCAGTCACCCCGAACCAGACGGAGGGAAATCACAGTGCGAATGTTGTTGTGAACAGTGTTGGAAGATTCGCTGCGAATGGAATCCCGGCGGTTAACTGGGATGCACAGCGGACGTACGTGGTGAGCTGCATCAACTATACGAGATGCGTACTGGCAAACGTGCAGAGCAGTAAGGAGCAGGTCCCGGAGGTCGAGCGGGCGCTGGTTCAAGAGATGGCGTACTACGCCAAACGCCTGAAGCGCATTGAGGAGCAAGACAAGGAATGATACGAAGGAAACGGCATCGTTGACTACGTTCGGAATGAAGACCTGCCCGTCTATATTGACGTTTAGAGAGATCTAGGATGGCTGCAGTGTGAAAGCTTCAAGTAGAAACATTCACCAATTGTTTTCACCACTTTTTTTACATGTTGAGTCGCTTCATTTATTGTAATTCTCCGACGACCGTCACCAAGATTTTTGCTGGGTCAACAGCCACGACACTGATTGGTGTGTCCTCAATCGGGATTCCTGATTCCGCACCTTGGCGTCGAAGCAGCTTGGCACAGGGGCAAGAATCCTACCAGAATCACCAACTTTGACCACGGCAGCGATAGAATACCGCCGGCTCGTCCGTCTGAGCGAGGACACATCATGCGGGCACGTTTCCAGCTGGCGCGCCCGCAAAGAGCGTGGCGTGGCGTGTTGAGTCCTTCCTTGGCTACGATGACAGGCGCCGAAGACCGCTTCACTTCGCATTTTGCTGTGGCCATCAACCATGTCCGAAGCGTACGGCACATTTGGAGGTTCAAGGCCGTCACCCCGCCAACATGAGAACCACTGGAAGACCTTGCTGTCGTCGACTGGTGCTCGCGTCGGCGGAGTGGTTGCCGTCCTGCTCGTAGTTGTGGGCGGCTTCGTGCTGCTTCAGAGCCCGTCGAGTCCTGTTGCCAAGCAGGTCTCCGTTGAGCGAGACGCGGCCGTGTTGACTTCCTTCGAGCGCACGTTCATCGATGGCGTGCAGCCGGAGAAGCTGCGTGAGTTCCTGCACTCTTACGCTAGTGTTCCACACACGTGCGGCACTGAGCAAGACTACAAGACGGCAGTGTACACTGCGGAGCAGTTTACAGCCTTCGGACTGAAAGCTGAGATCAAAGAATACTACACGTTGCTGTCGTACCCACTTCACCGCCGTCTGTCCATCGTGTCGCCCGAGCAGAGCGTCCACGAGCTCAACCTGACTGAGGTGTCGGTGCCCAATGACGCGTGTACCAACAACCCGGACGCACTGCCGCCTTACCTGGCTTACTCCGACTCGGGGAACGTCACGGCGTCGGTCGTGTACGTCAACTTCGGCACCCAGGCCGACTTTGACTGGCTGGTTAGCCACAACGTGACCTTAGAGGGTAAAATTGCACTGGTGCGGTATGGTCGCAACTTCCGTGGCCTCAAGGTCGCACTGGCCGAGCAGCACGGGATGGCCGCCGTTATCATTTACTCGGACCCAAAGGAGGACGGATTCGTCCAAGGAGCGGTGTACCCGGAGGGAATCTACCGTCCCAAAGGCTCCTTCCAGCGTGGATCACTGCAGTACTTGTCGCTGGCTTCTGGAGACCCGTTGACGCCTGGTTGGGCTTCGGTTCAAGGCGCCCCACAACTGAAATACGAAGATGCTAGCAGCATCCCACACATTCCGGCGCTACCACTGTCGTACGAACAGGCAGACGTAATTTTGCGCTCCATTGGAGGTCGGAAGGCTCCAGAGGCTTGGCAGGGCGGACTCACGTACCCGAACGGCTACCGTCTGGGTGACGACGAGTCTCTTGTCTTAAACCTTGATGTGCTCATGGACAACAAAGTTGGTCCCATCTGGGACGTCATCGGTACCATTGAGGGCTCGGTCGAGCCTGATCAGCAGGTTCTGATTGGCAACCACCGTGACGCCTGGGTGTGTGGTGCTGTGGACCCCAGTAGCGGATCCGCCGTCATGCTGGAGATCGCTCGTGGATTGGGTGACCTCGTCAAACAGGGCTGGAAGCCACGTCGGTCTATTGTGCTGGGCTCCTGGGACGGAGAAGAATTTGGTCTACTGGGCAGTACAGAGTTTGCTGAGGAGCGCGCCGAGGAGCTCAAGCAGAAGGCCGTCGCGTACATCAATGTGGACAACGTCGTCGGTCCGTTGGCTCTTGCAATGGGTACACCATCGATCGCCAAGTTCATCGAAGACACGGCCAAGGCTGTGCCTCCTAACGAGTTCTTCGGGCCCAATGACACTCGCAATGAACCAGGCGACAGTTTGTATGCGCAGTGGGCTGCTCAGACCGCTCGCCACCGCTCGCAGATCTACGGCGTGTACGACGGGACGCTGGCACCTGATCATTTGATCCAGTTCATGGGCTCAGGCTCGGACTTTACTGCGTCTACCAGCACCTGGGTGTGATCTCAGCTAACCTGGGTTTCACGCTTAATGGCGCAGTCTACGGCACTTATCACAGCAACATGGACAGCCTCATGTACATGGAGACTCTGGGCGACCCGCACTATGCAACGCACGCCAATATGGTTCAATGGTGGGGCCTCATGACCATGCGTCTAGCCACAGATGTGGTCGTCCCCTTCGACTTCACTACGTATGGACTCGTGATGAAGGATGATCTTGCTGGCTTTGAGGGAAAAATTCTAGCCATGAACCACAGTGTAGACTTCACAGAGCTACACACGGCTATCGCCAGCTTCACAGCTAACGCTAACGCGTTCCACGCGACCATCCAGCAGTCGGAGGCTGCGAACGACGAGGAATTATTACGTGGATGGAACGAGAAGCTGGTGCTACTGGAGCGCCACCTTATCGATGAGAACGGACTGCCTCACCGCCCGTGGTACAAACACGTGATCTTCGGTCCGGGCTTCTATGAGGGCTACCTCGGCACTGCCTTCCCGGGCATCTCGGACTGCGTCGCTTTCGGCGACAACAGCTCGACTATCCAGCGACATGTGAGCGACGTCGCTCGTATCGTCACGGATGCTGCCGACTTCCTGGTCGAGGATTAAGTCATCACCTCCAGCCATAAAACCCGAAATGCACCGTTCAGTACAAGGTTAAATCCAAGACGACTTCTACGTATACTACTATACGTAGTACGTAGTATTTCAAAGTAATAGATGAAATCGTTGTCTTCTTTCTCGCTTCGTCCGGGTCGGTTGTGTAAGATTTGTGAGGGCTCCACAAAGTGCCTCACAAAGTGCTTTACAAAGTCTTCACAAATCTTACACAGCCGACCCAGTGTGATTAAACGGGAAAGTTCACGGCGGAGAACTACGTAGTACTTCGAAGTAGTGTTTTGTGTTCCTAAGTTAGCGAAACGGGGAGAGGCTAAACCCCAATGGACAAGAAATGACGCCTAAACTTATTGTTGGTGTTATTGTACTCGTCACAAGTGGACCAGAATGTAGCCATGTTTTATGAGGAGCCAACAACCCAAATCCTTTAGTAACAGCTAGATATAAGGGGTAAAATTGGGTGTAGATTTCGAAAATGTGGTCAGAATTAGCTAATTCGCAGTCGTTTTTGCACTACAGGACTATTTTAAAAACTCTTTCCAGATACCGGGAAACGGGCTGCCTTTGAGGCGGTCATTTGATTGGGCAATTCCCAAGACCACGTTTCTGTGCTTCAGAATGGGTTAGGGCTTTCTGCTTGCCTTATTTTGGGCTTGCAGCTTAAATTGTGAAAGCCGATTAGATTGTATTGTCTTATCCGATGACAAATCTGACTTTTTGGAGTCTTAATAAGACTTTGCAATCTTATTTTACTCTGGGAATACCTTTAGGTATGGACAGCTCACACCGGATTAATTCCACGGTACTCCGTAGCTCGGTTGGCGTGGTTCACATGGAATGTAAGAGCAAATGTTGCTGCAGTATCTGAAACTAACGTGCTCGTCGTGAACTCTCACAATACAGCGCATTTTCTCTTTAGACATGTTGGTCATGTCTAAACGTGGGGTTGATGCTCCGTCTGGTGACACGCTATCGCCTGTCGAGCAGAAGAAACACCGGTGATCAGAAAACATGAAGGCGTCTCGTGAATAAGAAGAGAAAGGAATATATTCGACGCTATAACGTCTCTGCTACTTTGATTACTATTGTTCGCTCAGTTTGTGGTAAAATACCTACCAGACAGGCCACGTCAAAGCAGTGTAAACGGGACCATAAGACAGCTTATATGAGGAAGTACTGAGCGTCCCAAAAACGAGAAAACGTTAAGAACACATGTACAGATCTGAAAAACACACGAAACCATCCCACAAAACGTCGTGGACGGGACTGCTGGTAGGCGCCTGCGTCTGCACGCCTCGCGACGCACTTTTAGCGAGAGAGACAGGCCCCCAGTTCGTCGAAGTTCAAGGAAGCAAATGTCTTCCGAATGTGGTGGGCTGCCGCTGCTCATCAACAGCCCACGAGATCGGAACCTGGCAGTCGCGTGCAAGCCTTCGGTGATCACCCTGCCGCACCAGCGCCAGCAGTATGGTACGCCTCCAGCGCAGCGAGCTACCACACGAGACTCTCCGAGCCGGCGACTTGATCCAGTACTATTCGCGGGCGTTAGTTGCCGGAGACGCGAGAGGCTACCGCAAGAGCCGCGTTCTGAGGATCGCGCAGTTTAATGACGTGGATTATCCGATACGTGTGGACACCGGCGAGATCCTGGAGCTGTCGCACATGATGCGCCGCGTGGCCAACATCTCTGGCATACCATTTGAAGTCGCCGTGTGGAGAAAGATGAGGACTTACGAACTAGTGGATGGTTCTGTGGATCTCCCGACGAGATCCACCATTTTAAAATCTGCTATACGACAAGCAGTTGACGATGCCTCTGCTGCAGTGGCGCAGCAGCTACGAGTGGAGAGAGAAGCGGCGGACACCCACGCTGCAGCAAACTTCGCTGGAAGAGTCTCCGAAGCTGCTCGAGACGTTAGTGTCTCCAGCACCTCTGAATTACGTTTTCAGCCACCCGCAACAAGTGGAGGCGAGCGCACAGACGTTAGTGAAGGACCTGCGAGCGAGGAAAAGGTGTCAGGACAAGTTCCGATGGAGATACTTCTTCAGTTAGCAGCTCCTGATTCTGATTCTGAGTCTCTGGAATCGGTGATGAACACCACTTCGACGCCCAGCACTACGACTGTGCGTGTAGAGCCCAGCATTAACACACTACCCGTTTCCTCACATCCAGGAACAAGTGCGGAGAGCGAGGATTCTTCTCCAGATAGCACGCAACCTTCGGAGAGCCCGGATGAGGTGCTGGACCCCCAGCAGTACCTGGCCGCTATACCGACTCGTTTGGAAAGAAACAAAATCCGCCACCAAGCAAAAAAGCGGTCAAACCCAGTGACATGTACCCCGCTCGCGGAAGAGGAAGCATATGGCCCGTAGTGCGATCACCAGGTCTGGAGCCAACGTCTACCATTCTCGCAACGTTACAGCCAAGAAGATGAAGGACTTCCTGAAGCTCCCGTTCGTTCGAGAGCGTTTGAAAGCCTTACACGTACTACGGCCGAGCTACACGACGCAGAAGGATACGGCTGAGGTATCGCTGGCGCCTGCAGTGACAGTTAAGTGGCCGAACGGAGTGGACGAGATTAATGAGTGTCGAATTCCTGAAGGACTGCAGTTCCCTCACGTCGGAGACTTCGATCCCTGTAGCTGCGTTGGCGACTGTTTCTTCGACACCTGCGAGAACGCACAGTCCTCCATCTACTGCACATCGAAATGTTGTCGGCTAGATGCATTGTGCAGTAATGCGCCAAGGAACCGAGCGACGCTGAAGCTTTTTGAAACCGCTCGTGTTGGTTTAGGAGTGTATACTACTGCTTTTTTGGACGTCGGGGACATCTTGGGCGAGTATGTGGGTCAGCTACGTGCGCACGAGGCGCAGATTGAGGGTCAGCCAGAGGTGGCAAAGAAGTACAACAGCGGCTACACGATGCTGTACTACACGAAGTCTACAACCAAGAAGTACGTGTACATCGAAGCTGGCAAGTGTGGTTCCTTGATGCGATTCCTCTCGCATTCCTGTGTACCAAACGCGGATTTCATTGAAATGCGCAACGGACGCAACGTTAAGATCCTTGTCGTAATGAAGAAGGCTGTGAAGGCAGGCACTGAGATAACGGTGAACTACGGTGATGAAGTGTGGTTTAAGTGTGCTTGTGACGAGTGCTGGCAAGAAGAGTAGTAGGAGTGTAGGTTCTCATAATACACGTTTGATTTTGGCATCAACTTCGGTCTATTTTTCGCTGCAGAACATCTTGCGGTGACCCAGCACTTCCGATATGAGCTTCTGCAACACAGACACCTAACAGGTATCTTACTGCTACTTGAGCGGACACTGTGCAAGCGCGCAAATTCGACTACGATCGGTTCCTCGCTCTCAGCACTGGCATCACCACGCGTATAAGGCCTGTGAGTGTCAACTGCGAATGTGCACGTAATAACTCTGATGCTGGAGTCAAAACTTCGTTTTAGTTTATATCCTCGGTTGTATTGTGATCAGGAGGTCTTAAGCGACGTGTGGCACCTTACTCCGCCACCTACGTGTACGAGGCGAAGGTGCTGGAGGAAAACAAAAGTGTTATGATGTAAATGCTCGCTCTAACTGTTACTGTAGACGTATTAAAAGACCACTGCACCCGATCCTGAGTATCTAACAAGCCGTACGCATGTGCTGGAGCTGATACTTTACTCTAGAGACAGCGCAGGCCCAATAAGACGAGGTCTTCCTCCCAGCGTATCGCTACTTCGCTTGCCAGTAGTTCGTCGACTCACAAGCACCCGCCGCCCAGCTCCATCAGGACGATCCGATGCCCGGAGGGCAAAAAGAACATGAGCACAGGTTCCAAACTTGTAGCAATAGTTACATGGACACCATCTCGCGCGTAGTTTGTAACGGGGTTACATGGTGTGGAGCACACAGGGGTACGAAGTACCCGGAGAGTTAACAAACTCTCAGTACATAAGTTGGAGAGTTAACAAGGTCTCTCAGTACGTTGGCTGAAAGCCACACGTTATGCATTTGATTAGGTTTAACTATGCTAGATAGTTAAAGAGATACATTTACCCCTAGGCGGCTTGGCCGCAATAATAGTAAATAAAACACTTCTGGTTTTGAAGCATAAAAGTTAAGGTGTTAACTTTGAGCCCTGGTCTTGGGCTGTAAGTGTCCTTTGGATAAGGAACTTAGTATTAGTGACTCTTTGAGTCGAACGTCTTCCTCTGACGCTAAAGCTACGGCAGCCCCGCTGCACTTGGTAGCACTTGTAGTCAATCCCGCTCCTGAGTCGGTTGACTATATCCTCTGCGAGGATGGAACACCCCGTGTTCGCGAATTTGCCCCCGGCGCAGCAGGACGCGCTTACTAAGCTTATGTCCTTGCTTGGCCCGGAGGGCGTGGCTCATCTTGCATCGCAAGGTCCAGAGGCGGTCACTGCCAGGCTGGAATCGTTCTCCCGCTACGAGAACGCGCTCTTGGAGCATGTCCAAGAGAAGATGAGCGCCGCAACGGCGGCGGCGTCGATGACGCGTGAAGAGGCTATGAGACTGAAACCGCTCATGGTGAGCGTAAAAACCTTCGAGGGGAAGGATGGAGAGAATCTCCTTCTCTGGACCCGTGAGGTCGAGATGGCCATGGGATCGGCCCTGCTCCAGTCTGAGCATCAGCGCGTGGCGCTGGCTATCTCCAGGCTTGGAGGTCGCGCTCGCGAATGGGCACTAACGTGCGGCACGTCTGTTGACGCTGCATTTCCCACTTGGGATCAGCTGAAGCAACAGCTTTCGCGCGTGTTCGCGCCGCCTAATCAGGCGTACCGTATCCGGTCAAAGTTCCTTGCTACCCGCCAGGGTAAGAAGGATTTATTGGACTATGTCCAAGAGTTGAGAACTCTTATCGCCGGAATGGCGGCGGACCCTCTTCCGGAACTGGTCAGCGTGACCGTGTTCATGGAGGGACTTCGTGTGAGCGCAGCTCGAACGGAAGTGTTCCGTGTACACCCTAA